ATGGCACTTAACAAGAGGTTCCCAAAAGAGCCCTGGCTGCATAGTTGGTTACAAGGTGGGGTCCTAACTGCAGATCAAATTAGTCACGCCTTAGGAAAAAGATGAGGTTTTCTGTTTCCATAAAGATTTACAGCCTTGGTAAACCTACTCAGGTTCACTGAGTCAGAACAGACTTGAAGGCACACAGCAACCATTAAGTTGATCCTGAATCTGCTGTTCTGAGGACTACATTGTAAGTCACTTTCAGGAGTAGAAGAAAACATTAACCAGGTATGTTTGTACTTGATCCTTTGTCTCTGAAATCACTATTCCTGAGGCAAATTTGATGCTCCATTTGGTTCCGTTTGATCCAGTCATGCTCCGTATTTCTAGGGAAAACCGAAAGGTAGAATGGAAACAGGGTTTTAGGGGTCATTTTTCAGTCCTGGTGTTTGGTGCCGTGGGTTAATGCGCCAGACTGCAAAGTTAGAGGTTCAAGCTCACCAGCTGCTCCTCGGAAACCCTATACAGGGTCGCTATGGGTAGGAACCGACTCGGCGGCACTTAACAACCTTATACTTAGCTGTGGTACCTTACTGAGCCTAGGTGTCTAAAAAGTAACATTCCTATCTACTTTTTAAAAAACTAGTGATGGCACAAAGTAGCTGACACATAGTAACTTAACAAAATGGAAACCATTTCTTCCCGTGTTCAGCCCCAAATAAAAGGCATGAACCTCTTCCATTTAAAATCTGTAACATCAGATTCCATTCCAAATTGTGATGTATCACCAAGCCTTCTGTCCCTTATCAGCAAATTCTTGAAATCAGCGTTAATTTTACATTTCGCTATGGAAAGCAGCCAAATTACTGGCTGTCTTGGAAAACATTGCTCCCAGACTTCAAGTTTCAGAAAAATAAAATGTAATTTGGATAAGTGCTATAGTTTTGACTGATATGGTAGTGGGTTACACGTTGGGCTGCTGACCACAAGGTCAGCAATTCAAATACATCAGCAGCTCTGCATGAAAGATAACTTTCTGCCCCTGTAATAATTTACAGCCTAAAAAACCCTACACAAGACTGCTGTTAGAACTGACCTGATGGCACACAACCGTTAATTTTGTCTAAACAACTCGTTTATTTTTTTGAATATACATATTTAATAGTCTTAAGATCATATGACTATAAACTGTAGACAGGGTTCTAGAAAGCTTCAAATATATTCATTGTGCAAACAACTGTATTTAACTAAATGTCTTCGTAACAGTATTTCACTTCAAAATCCCTCATTTTCCCAGTTGTTCGGTGCCACTGAGTAGATTTTGACTCACAGCAATCCCATGTGACAGAGAACTGTCCCATATAATGGTCGGGTTTCTTTCCTAGGGACCTGCTGAGTGGGTTGGAGCTGTCCACCTTCCAGTTAACATCCAAGCTTAACCATTACATGTTTTAGCAAATGGGATAGGGATTTTCCTTTGTTGGTCAAAAGGGTACATCACTTTGGTTAACAGATTAATAACGTTTAAGCCTTTTCTCTTAGCAATATTTAAAGACATAATTTAATCATTTGCAGCCTAATGTTTCCAAGGTGATTTCAAAAATATTTCTTTAGTTTTCTTTTTATTTGAATTCTACTAAAGGCTCACTCTTTGAAGTCCTGGTGTGGCGCTGTGGGTTAACACACTGGGCTGCAAGGTTGGTTAGAACTGCAAGGTTGGAGGTTCAAGTTCACCAGCTGCTTTTTGGAAACCTTATGCAGGGTCACTAATGGAATAGAAGTGACACGAGGCACTTAACAACAAAAAGGTTCTTCACTTGAAGAATTAATAAACCCATCCATTACCTTGCTATTGGAGAGTTCTTCCACCTACTAAATTTGCAGACGGTACTAGCATCACACAGAAGCCACTTAACCTAAAATGATTTTAGTACCTGGAATTTAATTAACTAGTATTTCTGCATATGGACATTAATCAAAATAATGTTTAAAAGTCTTTTGTATCCCTTGGTGTAAACTTTAAAATTTTAATTTTTTTCTATGTCTGAAAAAAATCAGTAATTCAAATATGGTAAAGATACTACCTAAAACAACCTATTTCCTTACATAAAAAAAGACATGATAAAAATTTATTTAATGTGCCTTAAATCTAATTGCTTTTGAAAGCAGCCTGTTATATAAAATTGAACACTTCACTACCAACAAGGACAATGTTTTATTGAACACATTTATATACAATACAAAAATTACTGAAATGAAACACTACTGTTGATTTATTGCAGTTCAATGGCTCAGTTTTAATTTGTACTCTTATAAAATGCAAAGTAAAATAATTTAATGTTCAACAAGGAAGCACAAATTTCCTTTCTTGCTGAATCTTAATATCACATATTAACAATTCCAAAATGCATATGCAGCATTTAATCATTCTGAAAAGGTGTTTTACAGTACCAAATAAATTAAAAAATAAACACTATCATCTTTTTTCGTTTTTTCATCCATTTAACAGTATTAAACCAAACATGAAAGGAGTACAGCTGAACCTTCAGTGTGATTAAAAAAAAAACAACAAAAAAACCCCACAAGTTCAATGTTGTAAATTATCTTCTCAAATTATGTAATAGTAATTTATTAAAAATGAATATGGCTAAAGCCCAAAGTACCAGTGTCCTTGCCCACAAAGATGCCCCTTTTCTACCTTCTCCATAATATCTGAGCAGCAAAACTTCAAATTTGCTATTTTCTTGACCTTACTTAAAATGTAGCAGAAAGTTATTTTTTTTTTTTAAGGGAATTCTTATTTGAAAACAAAGGTTTGAAACAGTGGTCCATGTAAGATAAACATTCCTTAAATAAGAGTTTAAAAGTAGAAAAAAAGAGCAGAAAAAGAAAAAAGCTTTCTTTCAAATTTCAAGTTAGAACTGTTATTAAGTTCATGTACCTCATAAAAGCAAAGTGATTTAGATTTATAAGACATACATATTAAAATGTGCACATTTTTTCAATACAGATTTGAGTAGCATGTAAATAAAAAGGTTGATGACAGTGTAATTAAACAGAACTTTATAAATCATTCTCTGTATTCATTATATTTAAACTATATCTCATTCTTTAAGAAACCTATCTCTTAGAATAAAAGGAGTCATAAAACCTCAAATTAAACTTAAAGACCAACAAAACAAAACAAACTAGTAGAGTATGTTTTAAAAGCATCTTGGTATGAACTGCAAAATTAATGAAAACAATAATTTGTGGGCATGGATTTATGTCACTGGTTAAAACTTCTATAAAAAAGTAAAAAATGTGATGAAATTGAACACGTATTTTAAAATGAGAAAATTTACAAAGTAGAAAGTACAGTTGTTGTTTTTTTTTAAGAAAAAAATTCCAAATGAACCAGTTTTGTCAAACAGGCTTTTTATTACATTATAGACTTTAAAACTGAATTGACATAGAGCTAATCATAGTTTTAGTATCAGGATGTATGGAAAACCTTTTCTTTAGTTGACTCTAAAGAAAGGATTACAAAATCTGATTATGAGCTTTGTTATTTAAATATAAACTGCACAGCCTAATATAGGCTACATAACAAAACAAAACAAACCTAACTTCTGTTGGAATGGACTTCTGACCATCATTGCATAGTAGTGATGTGTCTTGATAAATTAACTAATAAAAGCAGTAACTTTTGTTTTTCTAGATCATCTGCTATATCATGACCTGGAAATCCTAACTTAATAAAGTCTGAATGCTACCCCTGGAAGAAATGTCGTATTTCCTCAGTAACCCAATTGAAGAAGTTTACTATCCTAAAATTTATAATAGTAGGGCATGATGAAATTATCTGCTTTGAACAAAAATTTATCAGTTGGAAAAACTGGATATTTTGGGATGACACCATTGCCTTAGTACTTCCATTTTTTTGAAGAATTTGCTTTTTATTTTTCTCCTCTTTGCCCCTGTATTAGATTAACAAAGTATTAGGTGAAAAGAATTCTTGCTTCAAGTTTCCTCTTTTGAAGAATGGACAAGCAGAAAATATCTAATATAAGAAGGCATTTTAAAAAGCATTTATTGTTTTAACAATTTATATTAAGTTGCTCTTCTTTAGGAAAATTATTGGTCACCAAGCGAAATAAACTGATACATCTGTATTCTTGCTGTGCAAATTTTTTTTGTAAATACTTCATTTCATATATAAAAATTACTGTTCAGACCAAATTCATCACTACTGAACAAGAAAGCATGAGTAGTATGGCTTATTTTTGGAGTTAAGTCTCCTAATTGAATAAAATCAATATTTTACCTGATTCTTAGCTGACATTTTTTTTAAGCCAGTTATCCTTACAGGACTGTGCTTAGATAACTCATACTAATGTCTAAAAGACTTTCTTATGAATCATCAAGCAATGTCCTAACACTACTCTATATTTAAATAGAAATATACCAGTGTGCTTATACCATTTTTCACATTGAAGAATTTGCAATTCAGTGTTTTCCTTCAACTATATAGCCTTCAATGGTCTTAGGTTCCTCCCATGTCTCCCCAAAGCTACTGGCAGTTATTGTTAGGTGCTATCAAGTTGGTTCCAACACTATGTACGTAAGTAACAGAACAAAACCCTGCCTGGTCCTGTACCATCTTCAAAATTGTTGCTTTGTTTAAGCTCATTTTGAAAATCACTGTATCAAACCATCTCCTTCTGGGTTGTGCTCTTTTTGCTGCTATTCTATTTTACCAAGCGTAAGGTTCTCTTTTTATTTAATCAACCTTGCTGCCTTTTGGATTTAACTAATTTATATTTCAAAATTGGAAGGTTTTATCAAATTATTAAGGCGCTCTGGTACCGCAGTGGTTATGAGTCACGCTACTAACCTCAGGGGCAGCGGTTTGAAACTACCAGCGGTTCTGTGGGAGAAAGATGAGGCTTTCTGCTCCCATAACGATTTACAGCCTCAGAAACCCTACACAAGGTCGCTATGGATCGGAACCGACTCGACAGCACTTAACAACATAAAGCTTATTAGCAAAAGATTGGTGATTTATATTTATTTCTTAAATTTTAGTTTTCAGTGTTGGCATGCCATTCATTCACTTTTGTATGAACTGTCTAATCATCTGGAAACAAGTTACAATATTTAATGGGTAACATGTGATGAATCAAGTTTTTTTTTCCATGTTTCTAACCAAATAGCAATGGTTCCTTAAACCATGTTTGACCAGAATAATCAGATTATGCTTCATAAAAAGAAAACAAATACCGTTTGTATAATACTTTATTATAAACCAATCTCCTTTTTAAAATGGGTTAACTTCCCTTTCTGTAAGGCCATAGCTGGTTTTTCTTTCTGACTAGTTGTCTGAGCATGTTTCTCACGAAAATGAAACTGAACATGCTGTTATAAATTATCCGACTTTTAAAGTGTGGTTTTCTGGATAACTGGTACTTTGGGAGTTCTGTAATAACCCTTTAGGAGTCTAATCAGCACATCTCTGCAAATTTATTCTATAATATGTGCTTTTGCTTTATCTTTAGTAAAATCCAAGACCACTCTAAAATTAAGGCCAACAGGGAAATAGCAAACTGATGATGCATTTTTCTTGTAGTGCTTTTTTCATACTACTGCTTGATAGACAGATCTTTCTGAAACATTTTTATCAGGCACCTGTAAAACAGAACATGTCTGTTAATTCAAACTGTATCGACGTTCTATTGGAATTCTAAGTCAAATTTCTGTTTAATTTATATTCTTCCTCATTCAAAAGATATTGATATCAGCATAAAGGTAATTCATCTTTCATTAATTTTTTTCCCTTTTAAATTTATTCTGCTTATTTTTCACTTGTTTTTTAACAAATGCTCAACTTCAATTAGTTATATTCTAGCTATGCAGATGAAAACATTTTCATCATATTTACTTTTATTCTAGACATTTTACTATATAAACTTAGAATAAAGAAAAGTTTTTGATAACAGTAAAAGAATAAAGAAAAGCTTTTGATAACAGTAAAAGTATGATTAAAGAATATGACAGACCTGCGTTCAAGTTTTGACTTGTACAGTTCATAGGCCTGTTCCTATCCAAAGGACTTAGCCTTTATGAATTTCATTGTTTGATTTATAAAGTAGGAATAGTAGTATCATCTCAGTGATTGTATAGGCTATAGGAGATATAATTTAGGGTGGTGCTATATAATGTTAATCTGTTTAACCACGTAAAAGTCTATTATCGTTTTAGCTATAGCATTTTCTATTTCTACAGATATACCTACTGAGAAGACTGAAGACTTACTTTCATCATCTGAATCAAATCCAAAGAGTGTCTGACATTTCTTTTGTGCAAGGTGAGCCTCAAGTGCTTCTGCATTACAGTAGGTGGTCAGGCATTTGCCACATCGTAATCTTTTCACTGACTTTTTACAAACATTATCTTGATCAGAACAGGCATCTACTTTATCAGTCAGAAATTTTCTGCGTTTTGGCATACTAAGGTACCGTTCATCAAGGTAACTGGGAGGCAATGGTCTGACATAAGGCTTTGTTAAAATTAAGCCGTATGAAGTATGTTCACTTGTCAGATTTGGTTTGGAAGGTGCCTGAGATACTGGCAGGGTATTGTGTTCTTGTAGTACAACATTGGGTAAAATGGAACCATTTTCCATCCTGGTTCTACTTATATCAATTTTCAAAGCAGGATCTGATGAAATTAAAGTTGTTTGTTCTATATCACTATGTCCATTAACTAACTGATTACTAATGGTACAACTATTTTCAGAATTTGGCTCTACATTAGGCATCTTTTGGTCTATCAAACTTATATCTGAAACAGCATCATCAGAATGTTCATTTCCATTCTGAACTGAACTGTCTGTATTCTTTTCTATACTTTCTATACATGTCTTTGGTTCTGAATAATCTTTCCTTGATTTGCTAGTAGACACTGGCAGACTAGTACTTTGTTTCTCATTACTAGGCGAGTCTTTTTCCTGATGATTAGGATTTGAGTCTGTAAGACCATCCCAAAGAATTGATTCACTTAGTTGTGTAGATGATTCTGGTGTTTTACTTAAATAGTGCTGAGCTTCATGTTCATACAGCAGAGGAAGATCTTCAAAAAGTTCATGGCATTCTGGAAAACTACACTGAGCTTGAAATATCCTGTGACTTTTTATGTGCTGAGCAAGCTGGAATGGCAGTTTAAAGGACTCACTACAATTAAAATGCAAGCAAAAGTACACATTTGGATAGCTGTGTCTATTAAGGTGATCTATAAAATGTTGAGAATCCTCAAATTGCCTTTGGCAAAATTTGCATTTTCCTTTGCTCCACTTCATTACTGTTTGCCGTACATTTAAATCAGTTGGATGTACAGTTCTTGCATGCTTATTTAGAAATCCAATTTTTTTAAATATCCTGATACAGCCAAGAGCAGGGCACTTAAAGTTTCCTTTCTGATCTGTAGCATATATGTCTTTTGGATGGCACACAGTAGTTCCATTTATCTTATGAAGTACTGAAGTTTCTTGATTCAGGTCATAATCATCTTCCTCATAATCACCTTCTTCATCATCATCATCATCATCATCATCTTCACATTCAGGTAAAGGCGCCAGAATATTATTTAAAGGAGTCTCAGAACTGCCATTTTTAATGTTTTCAGTAACATCTTCTGGTACAGTTACAGGAATTTCCATGACTTCAGTCACATGCTCAGAGGTGATTTCTTTATTTCTATCAGTGGAAGCAGTAAGCAGCTCTACTTCCAAGCTCTTATCATCAGCATTTCCATTTTCATAAGAAAGAAAAGAATCAGAACAATGTATTTCTTCCAAAGCAGGTATTTCCTGATCCTCTTGTTGAGCTACAGCAATTTGCTGCCTCTGAATTTTCTTTACATGATTTTTCAAATGCTTTTGCATAAGTCCTTTGTTTCTAAATTTCCTACCACATATTACACATGAAAAACTGCCTTTTTTTTGATGAGCCTGGGCATGCCTTACAATGTGACCTCCTAGAAACTCCTTGTTACATAATACACACCGATGCCTTGGGACATTGTGATCTACTTTGGAAGCATTAAGAGCTGTAAAGTTTTTCTTTGTATTACTATGACCTTTAGTTTGCACTCCGGATACATCATCAGGATAAAACTCTCCAATAGTCTGATCTGTAAGAGAGTCAAGCCCTTTATACAAGCCTTGTCCTTCCACTGTCTTTTTCAGATTACCTGTAGATTTTTCCAGTGTATGTTCATTTAAAAACCTAACTGCTGATTTATCTCTTAATAATGCTACACAGTTCTTCTTAATCATGACAAAGTTCCAAAATTCAGGATCAAAAAACAATCCCTTTTTCAAAATTGGAAGTAATTCAAAGCGAACACGATTCTGAATACTACTTGTGCCTTCATTATATTCTTCATCTGGACGTTTGTAGAGCCGTTCAACAGTATGATATGCTTCCAAGGAACGTTCAAGAAAAAATATTGAGAGTGCACAAATCCTGAGGATCTCCAAATCATTTGGCAAAAAATGTGCGATTGTTTTATAAATTAAGCATTTAGTTTTAGGATCATCATGAAGGTCTAGCTGTAGAGCACAACCACATATTTCAACACAAATTTGTAAGCCTTCTTCTTCAACCTGTAGAAAGAAAAATAGCACTAAATACTTTGTCAAAAAATGCAATATTTAGATTATCTTTTAAAAATACAATTCTGAAATGAAAGCTGAATAAACAATATTCCAAATGTATAATTTTCTTTAATATGTAGCCTCATGTAATTAACTCTTTTTTAGTATATTATTTTTCTTTTTAACTTGAGAATAGTCTAAGATAGCATTGTAATGTCTATACTAATTTTCAAGTTTTACAAGCTCTAGTAATTAGAGTACAAAATGTTTCAAAGACCTAATGGTAGTCTTTTCATTTAAGCTTAGATATTTATTAATTTCGGTACTAATTTCACATTTTCTGGTAGAATAGTTAATTTACATGTATCTAAACACATTTATCAAGTTTCAATATTAAGAGATAGCTATATAAAAATCCCAAAACTCCAAAATAACATTACTGATTATCCTACTGCACCACACCAGGACTCCATATATGTATATGGAGTCTTGGTGTTGCACTGTGGGTTAGTGCACTGGATTGCAAGGTTGGTTTGAACCACAAAGTTAGTAGGTTCAATCTCACCATCTGCACCTTGGAAGCCTTTTACAGGGTTGCTATGAGTTGGAACTGACTCCACAGCACTTAACAACAGCAATATATATTCCTGGTGTGGCATTGTGGGTTAATGCACCAGACTGCAAAGCTGTTTGAACTTCAAGGTCGGTGGTTCAAACTCACCAGCTGCTCCTTGGGGACACTATACAGGGGAACTATGGGTCGGAACCGACTCAACGGCACTTAACAACAACCACAGTATATATACACACACATATGTATGTATGTATGTGTATATATATATATTGGCTTCTGATGTAGTGCACTGGACTGAGAACCTCGAGCATGGGTGGCAGTTCAAACCCACCAGCTGCTTCGAAACCATATACAGGGTCACTATGAGTCGAAACTGATTTGATGGCACTTAAAACTGTGTAGTGGTTACGAATTGGGCTGCGAGCTGCAAGGTCAGCAGTTTGAAACTACCAGCTGTTCCATGGGAGAAAGATGAGGCTTTCTGCTCCCATAAAGATTTACAGCCTTGGAAACCCTGTACAAGGTCGCTATGAGTTGGAACCAACTCCACGGCATATAACAACAACAACAAACAATACATACATGGAGTCCTGGTGTGGCACTGTAGAAAAGCACTGCACCGCTATGAGATGGAAGAGACTCAACAGCATTTAAAATAACAAATTCTCTAAGGAAGCGTCCTGGTGTGGTGTTGTAGGAAAAAGCACTGGACTACCAACCACAAGGCTATTGTTGTTACGTAACACAGAGTAGGTTCTGACTCGTAGTGACCCAGTATAGGATTTCCAAAGAGCATCTGATGAGTTTGAACTGCTGACCTTATGGTTCAAATCAACTTGCAGGCCAGGGCTTATACTACAGCGCCATATCAAGACTCCAATCACAAGGTTAACAGTTCAAAATCTCATCAGTCACTCCTTGGAAATCCTACATAGGGTAGGTAGGAGTTGGAACCAACTTTAAGGCACTTAACTAGGAAGGTGACCTTCCTGGTGTTGTTGCGGGCTAGGTGTGTGGCTGTTAACCACCAGGTAGGCAGTTTAAACCCATCAACCATTTGGTGGGAGAAAAGTGAGGCTGTGTGCTCCTGCAAATATTTAGTCTTGAAAACTATCTAGAGCTTCTAGGAGTTAGAATAGACTTGATGGCAGTGGGTTTATTATGGAACAGAATGAACCATGGTGGTGCAGTGAATTGCCTGGCTGCTAATAGGAAAGTTGGCAGTTCAAACCCATCAGTTGATCCATAGAAGAAAGATGTAGGAGTCTTCTGCCGTAAGATTTATAGCCTTAGAAACCCTATGGAACACTTTTATTGTGTTCTTTGAGTTGAAATTGACTCAACAACAAAAGGTTATTGTTTTTGCTTTTTAATTCTATAAGGTTATCATTCATTACTGGTTCAAACTCACAGTGATTCGAGCTTACTTGTGGCTCTTCAGGAGTCAGACACAGTGCTCTCTCCTCCTGAAAAGATTATACCCTAAGTATGGGGTGATTCTACTCTGTCATATAGATCACTATGTGTAGGAATTAAAAAGTTTGTGGAAAAAGTCCAGTAACATTTAATTCCATTTTCAACAAATTTTTTGAAGCTCCCTCATATTTTTTGAGGCATCTACATGTTATTTTATAATTATCTGTGTGCACCTCTCCTCAAGTTTAAGTTATTAAATGACAGGAATTATACTGCTTCAATTTTTGTACTCCACTTTGATTAACAAAGATCTTCAAAAAATGTCTATAGAATGAGTGAGATTATATCTTCTCCACTGACGTTAGTTTCCCCCTATAAAGCCATCATCTCCACCTTGAAATTCTTTTCTAAATTCAAATTTCTTCTTTCAATTACACATTTCCTATTAGATTTCCCATATTTAAAAACAAACACCAAAAACCAAACCACTTGCATCGAGTCTTATGACAAACCCATGTGTATAGTCTATAACTGCTCCCTATAGAATTTTTTAGGCAGTGACCTTTTGAAAGCAGATCACCAGGCTTTTCTTCCAAGGCACCTCTGGCTGGGTTCAAACCATCAACCTTTCAGTTAATAGTTGAGTGCTTAACCATTTGCACCACCCAGAGACTTCTTTCCAGATGTAACAAATTCAAAATTCACAGTTCAAAATGGAATTTATTTTGTTTTTCAAAAGTACTGTCTGTATTCTCTATCTTGATTTATGAAATCATAATGTACACCCAGCTGTTCAAGTTTTAAAATCTCAGGATCATCACAAAAGGTAATATACTATTTCCTAAGGATATTTATGAACTGAATTTCCAACATCTAATATAACATACAAATCATTTATCATCCAACAACCACATCACCACGACCACTACTGTCTCTCTTGATTAGTCTCAATTATTTCCCACTCACCTTCCCACGTATCTCTACTACTCTTATTAATACCAACAGTTTTGAGAATAAAACGAAAAGTGCTCTGTAAATTATAAAATCTTCTGCAAATGTTAATATTATCAACTAGTCAAACTTAGATGAAAGTATCTTTCTGCATTACACCTTCTCAGATATGCCTTTGGTAATGTCTCCTTTTGAATTCACACAGCACTCTAACTTTCTTCTTTCCAGAGCACTAAGCATTATGAATGACCTATTCTGTGAGATAAAAAATTTTAGTAGTCTGAACTATTATATATTAAGGTTTTTTTGAATTTGTCACCTTATAATGTATAAATACATTTCTAATGTATTTATAATGTGTCTGATTAGACATATAGGGAAAAACCAACTCTATGATAATTCACTAAAACTCACTTATATTGTAAACTTTACATCATAACCTTCCATCATTTGGTATAAATGTGAATTATATGGATAAATCTACATTTCTAAAGTTCTACACAGGTGATATTGATGCACATCAAATGTTGAAAATTACTATTCCTTTTTAACTAGAAAAAAGCTCAGCTTTGACAATTTTTATGACATTTTATTATTCAATAATGATTCTATGACTGTAGTTAGCAAAATAAACAAGAAATAAAGGAAACAGAAAAACTTTCAGATACAATGTTGCCAACTTGGTATCAATCATGGTAATATGATCACTAATGGCCATCTAATGATGTGGTAACGGATGTAATAAATACACATGAAAAACTTTAATATATTATTTATTGGAGGCCTCCTTATATACTTAAACACAACAAACATAAAGTTTTAGTTAAATAAAATTACCTAAAATGTAAGATGGCTTCCTCTTTTCTCACACTGTATTCAAGGTCATTAATATTTTAGGGGAAAACGATCTGCAAGATCTACTTTCACACCTATGTAAGACTCTTAATGTTTGTAGAACTACACTCATTTACAATCGAAAAAAAACAAACATGTCAGGACTAATTTTTAAAAAACTGATAATGGGTTTTTAAACTTATTTCAAAAACACATTTTAAAAACTAAGAGTTTTTACCACCAGGCTGTAGAATTCACTTGCTTTCTGCATGAACACCAGACTTAAAAATGTGAACTAAGTTTCTCTCTTTATTAGCAGATATTATCTACTGATATAGTTTCCTTCACAAATTATGTACAAATGGGACTTAGGATAATGCTAAACCTGACAAACTTAATTATAAGAAAAAAGGTAACAGCTTCTTATGGAAGCAATTATCCTTAAGTTAAAGTTTAAATGACAGTTTTGTGTTTTTCTCTGTCTTTTTAAAGTTATTTTCAGTTATGTATATACCCTTTGTACTATTTTGGGATCTTGGGGCAGAGGCAATGGGGAGGAAAAGATGTAATATATTGAGAATGTGGACTTTAAATCTTCCCCTTCATTATGAAATAAATTTTATTGTAAAAGATTCAAGTTCCAGTGAACTATCATTTAAATTTAACTTAAAATGCAAGGGACAAATATATACTATTTACCTCATCTTTAATGATTTTCATGAAAGGAAATATGACTCTAACGTTAGTTGCTGTTCTTAAAAGCTGGTAGCATTGATCTACAAAAACTTGTTTTGAAGGATTAGACTTCAGCTGTAG